TAGGAATAACCATGAAAACATGTATAAATAAAAAAATCGTTATGAATTGTTAATTATATACATGATTATATGTAAACAGTTTGACTGTTGGTATGGTTGGACCAAGTGCAGATTTAACAAAAACTCGCTTCATCATGTGTTCATCGTAACAATTACATTACCCTCATTACCACATAGTTTAATCATGTTAATCATATTTTACTATTAGTCATGTTAGTTATAGATTTCATTGGTTAACCATGTGAACAGAAACCATGGTAGCATGCTCACTCTAAGTTATCAATGTCAGGTAGTACCCTGAAACAAAAACCAGATTTTGTCAAAAAGATTCAAATAAACAAACAAAAACAAATCAGTTTGATAATACATATGTTAGTTTTCAAAAAGATGTAAAATTCAGATGTACTTATGTTTAATGTGGAAAAAAGTAATATTGCATGATGCATGGAAGTTCATGTAGATCTGCATGTGGTTATTACTTGGTATACATGCTGTCAATGTGTAAATTTTCATATTTTTCAATTCTAAAAAATCTTTATAAGCTGAAATGTTTAACAAAATAAAATGGCCATTTAAGACATTTTCAGTGGTTATTTTGTTTTACACTCTCAACATAATGAAAAAATCACAAGTGACAATTATGCAACCATTAGCATGATTAGATTAGAGACTAATACACACCAGTTTTGTTAAAAAATGTTTCTATTTCACTTTTCCTTCTTGTAGAGCATGTTAACAACTTACAGAAATTATGCAGACTATGTGGAAATTCAACAAAAAATAATGAACGGACTAGTAAAACAAAGTTCTCCATGGAACTTCTGCAGCTATATGACATAGACGTTCTTAAAGATATTTCATCTGTTCATCCCGAATTCCTGTGTCAGTCTTGTCGGTGTCATTTATATAGAAGTAAATCAGATACTCAACAGAAGAAGTCTAAAAAGCCACGAAAAACTCCACAATTGGATAAGAAGAAAATGAAAACACCTCGGCAATTTATTCAACATGAAAGAAATTGTGAAATATGCACATTAGACATGTTAGCTAAAAATGAAGCATCAGGAAGCCAAGACAAAACTTCTTCCGAAAGCAAGATACGGCAGATAATTCAACAGTTTGAACAGTTGGATGTAGAGGAAAAAAATATTTGTGTCGGAAAGATTTTAGAGTCATATATGCCTCTTTCTTTATTAAAAGAACAAATTGCCAAAGTCAGCTGTCAATATCCGCATGGCAACATTGAAAGGTTGAACAACTTTTACCCCCATGAGTATCTTTCTGCTTTAGATTCTCGCCTTCTCCATATTTTGCTGTCAATAACAAGACAAACAAAAGATACTATACAAATCCAAACTATAATTCCCCAAATAGAATCAATTTACAGTTTGATTGAGAAAGACTTCATAGGAATATGGTCGTTTATGCAAAATTTAGTGACATTTTCCTGCACAAAGAGTAGACAAGCATGTAACATTCTTGGTACAGCCATTCCAGGAGGGAAATACTCATACATTTCATCATATCTAAACTCAACAGAAAAAAATACTGAATCACCATGTCCAAAAGGTGATGTTGCATTTATATTTGACAATGAACAAGTTATTGGAAAAACATGGAACATAAATGCACAAAATAAAGTCAAACTGTCAGTGATCACAAATGTAGCAGTTGTACAAATTCCAACATCTTCCCCTCTTCAGGAAATGCCAGAGTATAGTCCAAAATTATGGTTAACTTCTGAAAAAAATGATGAAACAGTCAAGGAAATGTGTGAAAATGTCACACAAAGTTTAGGAAAAGAGCAAGGAAATGTCCAAACTGTCAGGAGAAAAAATCTAAGAACAGTCAATCTGTTCAAGAGAAGTCCCACAATGCCCAAAACACTTTGCTAGGACAGGAAAAAGTAAATCAAAGGCCTGAAGGGCCATAATGGCTTACGTGCTTGACATGGATGTAAAATGTAAGGAAATGTAGTATACTAAAATATTACTTAGTGTTTTCCCAAGAAATGTCGCTGAATTGACGGCCTGAGGCGTTTCTTGAAGTTGAGTATATATATTTTATTTAAATATGAATGAAAAATACGAATTCACTGATAAATTCTTTTTTTTTAAAGGTAAATAAAAGCTAAATATATATTTTGAAAAAATTGTCAATTTTTACTTAAAATTATTCAATAATAGAGTTTTTTTTATATAAAGAGATCTAATCACGAAAAATTGTTCTATTAAAATTTTCTGTGAAGCCACTGTCTTCAATATACTGTTTTATATGTAATGTAAGTGCTATTTTTGCTATGTACAAAAAGGCCCCTAATGACCCTCCCTTGTTTTCTTGAAACGTTTTGTTCTCATTATGTAGCACCAATGTAATGCTTACTGCATGTAGATATTGTCACTTGGAGCGCTTCTGAAAATTATAGGTCACTGTGTATCAGAAGCGCATGCGTTTGAAATAAGTGCTTTCCCAGAGTTCATAAAGTAAAATTAATGTAAACATTTATAAATAATGTTAATCACACGTTTCATTTTCAGTACGTTAATGCAAAAAAAATGTCTTAAATATTATGAGTTTAAATAATGAATCTTTTTTTAATGTCGGAGCATCAATGTTATTTATAGAACGACCTGTGAATGTAGGAAAACCCCACATGTGCATTAACAAGTGTAATTCACTAATTGCTTTTACCGTTCCGACTTCGTACTATCTGATAGCCATCAATTACATTTTTAAGGTTATTACTTAGTATTTTTATCGTCTACAACCTTGATACTTTGTAATATATCAGTAATTAAATTGCAATGAACAAAAATTGACAGCCAACTGTTAGGCTATTGCAGCATACCCCATGCCGCGATTGGCATTGAGTTCACAACATTGGGTTGGCGGGAGATCGTGTTCGCGTTACCTCCATGCAAAACGGTCTTAGGAAATCACTGCTTTTAGCAGCTGTTTAAACAGTTTGTAAGGTAAAAATACATTTAATCTGTATTCCAACGAGCTATCTGGCGCGATGTACTCCCGACAGAGTTCTCTTTCTTTCATTTCGATCGACTTACCTACACGGTGGCGCTGTTGACATATATACGGTCAGAAGATATTCTTCCGCGTCCTCACAAAAGTTTATTCAATTTAGTTTTTTTTATTTGGTTTATCTTGTCTTCAATAGCGAAAATTAAATGAAAATAACAAGGTTTTTGATTATTAAGAACTTGGTGAGTAATTTTCACGATAAAGGTAGAATATAATTAAAGAAAAGACGAGGACTATTTTACCTTGCTCATGTTTACTAGAATACATAGTGAACTCTTTGCCGTAAATACACCGGGAGCTATAATGGCTTCGTAAGCCATAAAAATGTAACCACCTTCTGTAGGCATCATGGAATTTCAAATGTTGAAAAAACATACTGGAAGTAAAAAGAAAAGTGTGGAGCCTGATCATCAATATGCTCATGTTCAATCATTTCACTCTGGTAGTCCTGTAGAAGTTACTTTGTTAGATCCTGTCTTTGTCAATCCTAATTCAATAGAAAGTATGATTCTCATTTTAAGATTCATAGGGAAAAAAGCAAACATAAAAAAGTACATATCTGAAGAGCAGAAGGAGGATGTATATATACGATCGTGGACTTTCGTTTGCTGTGATGGGCTTCCACATTCCCTTGTTAGGCGTTTAGTGGAAGAGTATTTCATATGTTCTCTATGTAAAGAGGGATGTCTTGGAATTGAAGAAGCTCAAAACCATGCTGAAAAGAAACATCCTGGAACAATACCCTACTTCAGTAAAGAATTTGATTGGGTGTTTTTGTTAACTGGTGAAGGACATTATGAGATGAACCTAATGAAAAGCTTCATGGAACTAAACTGGACTGTCTTCATGAAACAGTTTGTTGAGTTAATGGGTTGGAAGTCAGAAAAGGCATTGCATTGTGCTCAACACTGTACCGATAACCACAAAACATGGCAGCTCATAAATGCATTTCATTTTGGCTCGATGATGGAACTGGTCCGGCCATATGTCATAGACTGTCTTGAAAAGAGTCTTGACTGTACTGCTCATGGTTTCATTTCGTTCGTGAAGCAATATGACAAGACTCAATGCAATGTCAATTTTATGTATTTATTTGAAATGGTTTGCAAGCATGTAACATTTTGATTTTGATCTTGGTACAGCCATTCCAGGAGGGAAATACTCATACATTTCATCATATCTAAACTCAACAGAAAAAAATACTGAATCACCATGTCCAAAGGGTGATGTTGCATTTATATTTGACAATGAACAAGTTATTGGAAAAACATGGAACATAAATGCACAAAACAAAGTCAAACTGTCAGTGATCACAAATGTAGCAGTTGTACAAATTCCAACATCTTCCCCTCTTCAGGAAATGCCAGAGTATAGTCCAAAATTATGGTTAACTTCTGAAAAAAATGATGAAACAGTCAAGGAAATGTGTGAAAATCCAGAGGATGATGGAAACACGTTTAACAAACAGTTGATTGATACTCATTATGAAGAGCTGTATCATTATTTGCACAATGTTATAGGACACGTGAAAGAAGAACTGCATCAAAAGGATGAGACAGGAAAGTGGCAGGATGCACTTCACATTGAAATACTGTGGACGTACTTTTTTCCACGGAGTCATAATTCCGCGGAATCTCAATTTCCGTTTAATACGCGGGTATAAATTACGCGCATTTCTTAGACTGTCACTATATGCCATACATTTATATTAAGTACGCTAGGACATATTTCCGCGGAAAGTTTGTGTCCGCGGACATAGCGTAAATTAATACCACGCGGAAAAAAGTTTTTCTACAGTATCAAAGAAAATGGAAAATCTGTACAATCAAACTTGCCAAAAATGTCACACAAAGTTTGGGAAAAGAGCAAGGAAATGTCCAAACTGTCAGGAGAAAAAATCTAAGAACAGTCAATCTGTTCAAGAGAAGTCCCACAATGCCCAAAACACTTTGAAAAGCTTCATGGAACTAAACTGGACTGTCTTCATGAAACAGTTTGTTGAGTTAATGGGTTGGAAGTCAGAAAAGGCATTGCATTGTGCTCAACACTGTACCGATAACCACAAAACATGGCAGCTCATAAATGCATTTCATTTTGGCTCGATGATGGAACTGGTCCGGCCATATGTCATAGACTGTCTTGAAAAGAGTCTTGACTGTACTGCTCATGGTTTCATTTCGTTCGTGAAGCAATATGACAAGACTCAATGCAATGTCAATTTTATGTATTTATTTGAAATGGTTTGCAAGTACTCACAAGGAATAATAAATTTACGTGCTGCTGTAAGGCGAAATAATCCTCAGTTGTTGATGTCAGCAAAATGGATGACGAAAGAACTTTTTCATGGGAGGAATCATCCTAAGTACCAAGAAATAGAGATCTACGAAACTTTTATACGTCGAATTTTGCCCGATGTTTTGAAACAGTTTTTTGAACAATTTTGCAGTTTGTCAAAGTCTGGAAACAAAAGCAAAGGTCAAGGCTTAGATTTTCTGCTTGAAGAAGAAAACAAAAATGTGAAGGGATATGGCTGAAAAGAGGAGTTCCAAGTAATGAATCGTGGTTAGCCACTTGTCGGAATCATCAATCTCTAAAAAATTTGAAGAAAAATGTTTTAGCTCAGGCTGGTGTAGAATCACTCGAATGTAATGACAGAGAATTGAAAATTGAAAGTGCAATCAAGGAATGGAGATGTCATTTGAGGGAATCAAAGTATATTGAATCAGATAGCCATGGACCAGTACTTACATCCCTAAGTGGACATGTGTTATGTCAGGAACTGGTGAATTTTACGACAGAAGCAAATCGAAAGAGATCGTATAGAATATTGGATATGATACTTCATCAAACTCCCCCGAATGATCCAACTTTACATCATCCGGTGTACATCACGGTGGATGAACGAGACAAATTTTCGGCTGATTCGGCGCTCTCGGTTCAAGAAATCGACAACAAAATTTTAGATATCATTGAACTTCTACATGAAAACTCTAAAAAAGACTTTATGGAGCTATTTGACAGACTTATAACAGTTAAATCAAATTTGAAAGAGCATCATTTAATATTTTTGGAAGAAGTATCACAGGCGGTAGCCCAACAGTTGCCAACCATCAACGAAGAGCATGTTCCATTTCTTAATGAGGCAGACATGGATCAGGACTAGATTTGTTTAAAGCAGGTATATTCAGATTGTAGTCATTGTAGAATGTAGTATTTTAATTTAACAGTTCCTTGCCTTGGTGTTCTATTAATTGAAACAATATTTTCAGTTTGAAAAATGTAATATATTTTACTATGTACATTTGATTTTCAGATATATTAATTACCTTATTGCTCATTCATAGATAAGTTATTGGATGAGTATGATCTAACCAGTCCAAGTGACAATCTTCTAGTTCTACAAGATCTGATCCTTGGAGGTGAGAGAGACCATGGTGATGGTCATTATCCTTCACAAGAATCATCATCTTGTAACATACAAGGTAATTTTATGAAGTAAATTCTGTTCAATTCCAATTTTCTTCATTCTATACTTTAAATATTTACAGGTAATATAAATCTAAGATGTTTCAAAATAGATGTGAAAAATTTGCAAGAAAAGGTTTATAATAGTCTTATCATCCAAGAATTACATTTAGCATCTGGTACTGGGCATGGCGAAGAAGAGAGGCAGTCACCAGTTATACCATGGAGCATACATAGTATGGATATGTTGTTTTGTTTTTCTGTAACAAACCAGGAATGAGTATAATATCAGTCCAGGAAATTTTTTTTTGTATTTGCTATGTATTATTTATGTTACTTTAAATCTTATTTTATTTTATATCAACAGAATCGCTCACAAGCATGACAGATGAAAATGAACATGATGATACCCCGGCAATTAACCCTGAACTCTATTTGCAGAAGTTTCCAGCCCCTGGTTAGATTTTATTTTTTGAATAATTTCAAATCATTTATTTTTTATATCATAAGTTGTTTATAAATGCCAAGCAAATGTATATAATTAAAGCTTGTTTTATCAAGGCTTTTTTTTTGTTCCGTATTTTAGAACCAGACATAACATTTGATGGAGAGGACGAGAGGTTGCTGACTGTTACCTTGCAGAGCACTGGTATATTGTTTTTCTTCTTCCTGGGTTGCTTTAAAAAGGTTATTTATTAACGAAAAGAATTAATTTAATATTGTCACACCTATTTTATCGTGTTTTGCAACACAATCCTGAAAGAGGAATTGATATGAGTATTTTGAAATAAAAATTCAGATGATGTTCCACAACCACACCAAACCATGCAAACGGAAGATGATGAGACATTCACTGTCACTTCTCCTGCAGCTGGTAAGTCTGACAAATTTATCATACATGTAGATTAATCTTTTTTTGTGAATTGCTTTCCTTGAAAATGACAAACCATCAATAGTGAACTGATAACAATTCAGTTGATGCTTATTACTTTGGTAGAGGATGTGTTAAACATGTTGACAGGAGTTTTTTAAATTAAAAATTCAGATGATGTTCCACAACCACACCAAACAGAAGATGATGAGACATTCAGTGTCACTACTCCTGCAGCTAGTAAGTCTGACATATTTATCACACATGTAGATTCATCTTTTTTTCCTTAACCAGTTAACATGATATTTCTAAAAAAAAATAATTTTGGTAAACATTGTAAAGGGTGTGTTGAACTTGTTTAAATACTGGCATTATTGGCAGAAACTGATACTCAAATTTTGTTGTAGAAAAGATAAGAGACAAAGACAGTGGAAAATTTGTCCGAAAGAAAACGGGGACAGACACAGACTTCAAGAGAAGACAAAAAGATGTAGAGAGGAAAAGACTGAGTAGGGGACTGAAAGTGTTCGAAAAGATGGCAGCATTTGCCAATGATAATGAAGATGTACAATATTTTGCAGTCATTAAAAAGGGTGAAGAAGTACATTTTTCTGGAAGTGAAGATATGGTAAAGAACTTCAAAGAAAATAAAAACATTCTTAATTTCACAGACTCTATGATCGAGACCAGAGAGGAATCTATTCTACAAAAAATCATCAAAGCAAAAATCAAAGAAAATGTGGTACAGCCATCACCATATAAAGGAGCCCATGGCACTGGTTTGGGTTTCCTGCCAGGATGTTCTAAAATACCACCCAAGGATCTACAGCATCTTGAGCTTACGAAAATGACGCCAACAAGCGGAGAGGATTTGGTTGCCATATCTAAAGACACAGTTATGAATCTAAAGTCGAGGATTTTCCTTAGGGAAAAAAGAAACCAGTAAAACGAAGACTAGCAGAACTTGAAGGAACACCAGAGACAGACACGACAGAGGAAACCGGATCAGGAAAGAAACAGGGAAGAGGGAGAGGAAGAGGCAAAGGCCGGGGAAGAGGCAAAAAACATTAGACATGATAGATTTAAGTGTACAATGGGACAGAATGTAAATATTTTGTTTTCATCTTGTATCTACTGTGGTTTCACTAATATTTGTTGGTATTAATTTTCATGGATATAGTAAAATCACAGTTTCAAGTGAATGCCAATTCGTGGTCAATAATATTATAAATATAATATGTTTAGATAGGTACGACTTCAGTGAAAATTTAATTATTTGAATATACATAACAAAATTGAAAAAGATAAGTATTCAGTAAATATTTATGAAACCACAGTATTTCAGATGATTTAGTTTTTTATGTTGCAAATTGAGTAATGTTTGTAAAGGAGTGTTTGAATTTTGATTCAGTTAAAGTGTTAAAAAATTACTGTTATCATGTTGATAACACCAAATAATGTAACATTTTACATGTTTTATGTAATCCAATTGAGACTCTATGTCTGTTTTAAATGGTTACCATGTTTACTGAAAGTAGAAACCGTAACACTGGTTTCTGAGGAAATTACTTCTGTTTTATAATGAACATAATGAATAAAGCTTTCAAATATTTTCATTCAAAATTATTTACATGATGAACAATACGATGACAACAACAGTGATGACTGTGCTTATCATGCTTATGAAATGAAAGTGGTCATCATACTTATGCCAACAAATCACTTAATTGTCACAGAAATATGTAAGAAGATGGTACATGTCTTCTCAAAAAGCCGGAAACTTCCCCAAGTCGTCTGTAAGAAGTGTCATTGCTAAACTCCAACACATAAACACAGTGAAGTTTCAGCCCCCACCTGGTACTGGACCTTCATTATGGCGTGTTCCGATGTACAGACAAAATGTCCTCCTAAGTTTCTGTGTAACTCTCATTTCAAGCGAAATGACATTGCAAATGTCCTTTGGAACCCGTCCAATTGTTCTATTTACCCCCATTTCCTTCACCAAGACAGCTAGCGGGTCCCATCTGTTTGTAGGCTCGGGAATGCATTCCATCACATATGGATGATTCCGGCTAAACTCTGTTGGCATGTTTCTGAAGTGTTGGTATCTAAAAGGGCAAAATATATATATATATATATATATATATATATATATATATATATATATATATATATATATATATATATATATATTGAAGCATAGGTGTCAGAAGCAAAATGAAAGTAGGGGGGGGGCTATAAGGTAAACCCCAATTTTCAATGTGGATTATGTCTATCTTTGCAAAAAAATGGAGGGGGGGAGGTTCTGACGCCTATGTTTAAGTTGAGACTAGAGCACGTCTTTCAACATGTTTAATAAACTTTTAGAAATAAAAAAAAATATTTAAGATACACATGTTTAAGATATATTTTCTGACATCATCATGATCATCGGTTATATAGCTTCCCAATTGTTTAAAAATCTGAAGAAAACAACAACATAATATGCATAAAGCTTACTATCTGCATGATCTGTGCAGTTGACAAGTTAATCATGTACATGATATAAACAAAATGGTTAACATGGTAAAAAGTTATTTACCCATTAATTGTTGAGAAAAAGAGGATAACTTTGTTCGATATGTTGTCCCATCCCCTTTCTCTTCTTAATCTTCGGACTCTCTTTCGCCATCTTTGGCGTCTTTGAGATGAAACTTCCATTATTTGACCAGTGATTACAATAATTTGTGAAAATATCTTTTGAACAGTGGTGAAATGTTTGCTCTTGTTAAAATTTGATAAAGTATGGATGGAATTGCCATCCTGATTAGAGATGTTTTAATAAAATTGGATGGAATTCCATCCATTTCATTTGAAGGATGGAAAACCGTCCTTTTATTTAGGACGGATTTTCCATCCAAAACTTGTAACTTTTAGATCGGACGGTTTTCCGTCATGGACTTGACTGTACACTGAATTGTTGACAGTTTTTTTTCGTTATTTCCTGATTGATTGATATTTATTGTTTAACGCCAAGTCTGCAATATTTCAGCCATATTTCGGCGAGTATTATTTCCTGATTAAGACAAGGAGCATAAGGCGGGTGTGACCGGCCGTCAGGGGATACTCACTCACTAATGGAACCTGCTCACTTCTCTAATGTTTTAGAGGTCCCTGTTTGTTCTGCTACTAATTTGTAATCTTTAATGAACTTTTGAGCTTGAATCTGTTATCTCCATATATTTCAATGAATTAATCAAATATGGTGATCAGCACAATATGAAATATATCTGAGAATCAAAGAATTTTTAGCTCTACTGGTCAGAGACCAGAAGAGCTTATGCGATAGTAATGCGTCCGGCGTCCGTCCGTCTGTCTGTCCGTCTGTAAACAATTTTTCAAAACGCTACTCCTCCTACAATTTTAGTTTGATTTCAGTATAACTTGGCACACAAGTAGACTACACTAAGATACATAGAATAGTGCATCGGTTTTTGATTTCGATGAACCGTGTTGCCATGGTTACTAAAAATAGAATTTTCTGTGAAATTCCTTAAAAACGCTACTCCTTCTACAGTTTTTGTCTGATTTCAATATAACTTGGCACACAAGTAGACTACACTAAGATACATAGAATAGTGCATCGGTTTTTGATTTCGATGAACGGTGTTGCCATGGTTACTAAAAATAGAATTTTCTGTGAAATTCCTTTAAAATGCTACTCCTTCTACAGTTTTTGTCTGATTTCAGTATAACTTGACACACAAGTAGACTACACTAAGATACATAGAATAGTGCATTGGTTTTTGATTTCGATGAACGGTGTTGCCATGGTTACTAAAAATAGAATTTTCTGTAAAATTCCTTAAAAACGCTACTCCTTCTACAGTTTTGGTCTGATTTCAGTATTACTTGGTCAAAAGTAGACTACACTTAGATACATAGAATAGTGCATCGGTTTTTGATTTCGATGAACGGTGTTGCCATGGTTACTAAAAATAGAATTTTCTGTGAAATTCCTTTAAAACTCTACTCCTTCTACAGTTTTGGTCTGATTTCAATATAACTTGGCACACAAGTAGACTACACTAAGATCACAGGCACTTGTTTCTGTAATATATTTTTGACCCATAGTATAATAATAACACAAGGTATCTAACTCCGATTTACACCGAGTACCCCCCTCCCTTAGAATCGCGCTCATTTACACTTTCAGAGGAAATGCACGGGTAAACTGTTTATACCTATATCTTCTACGATAATTTATCTACACAACCATATCTGGCATGCTTGTCTTTATTTTCTTTTATCTCCGTAATCAGCGTCAAAACTCTGCTCGCCGAGTTTAAAGTAAAACTGTACCATAGAATAGTGTTAGATTGTGAGGTATTTGGTATATGATGGACCCAGAGTGATGAACACATGGAAGCTGAACACGTTTTATTCTATGACATAACAGACTCGCACATAAAACAAAAGAAATTATCTGATTGGCTAATAATGATACAGCATCAACTGGTTTTACTAATAAACGAAAGTCAGTAAAAGGTCAAACTAATAACAGGAATATAACATCCTCCTCATTTTACAAAAAAAAAAATGAAACTGTCCTTGAGATGTAAACATAATAAAGCTTATACAAAACTGTTCATTTCTTAACATCAATCTGAAAATCCTTAAGATGCGAAGGTAGGTTAACTGTCCTACCAGATCGCGTTTTCACTGCTGAATCAGCCTTCGGAGCTGATGTGGTAATACGAGCATCAGGTAAGTTTGGCATCGGTGCCGGAGGTACAGTGATACATGGTTGCACAGGCTGTGGGCTGACCTTAACTGGTGACTTGGGTTTAGTCGGTGTTTTTGGAGTAGGTACTACAGACGGTGCATTCACAGGTGTGTTAGGTGAAAAGGTCATCAATGGAGGTTCATTGGTAGCCTTAAGGTGTACTCGATTGCGTCGGTATATGCGGTCTCCAGAACTGACTTCATAGGAGCGATCATCTAGACGACGGATGACTTGACCTTTAGCCCAAGGGGCTTTACGGTTGACGAATGGTTGAAGACGAACAACATCACCTTCCTCGAGAGGCTTGAGGGCCTTCGATTTTCTGTCGAAATAGCTTTTCTGTGTTTCCTGTCGCTGCAGGATCTTACGGTGAATATCATCAGTCTGTATGCCTTCTGGTCGGAGTAGGGTGGTTGTCATTGGTAAAAGCGTACGTGTACGGCGACCAAGAGAGCGCTGTACAGGGCTTGTGTTCTGTCCTTGGGTCGGTGTGTTCCTGAGATCAAGTAGTGCCAGACACACATCCCTTCCAGACGCCAGAGCTTTTTTGATGATAGTCTTTGCTGTTTTTACTGCAGCCTCAGCTTTTCCGTTAGCTTGAGAATTTCCAGGACTACTGGGCTGATGTCTGAAGTCATACTCTTCTGCAAAGTTCAGAAACTCGAGACATGAGAATTGGGGACCGTTGTCCGAGACGACAATCTCAGGTAGTCCGTATCGAGCAAAATGATACTTCATTCTCTGGATGACATTGATTGCAAGTGTTTGGCGCAGTTCATCAACCTCAAAGTATCCAGAGAAGTAGTCAACGAGAATGAGATAGTTGATGTTGTTGAGCGTGAAAAGGTCAACACCAACCTTAGACCATGGTCGGTCTGGGACATCATGGGGCGAGAGTGGCATCTTGGTATTTGCCACTTCCATGCTGCGGCATGTCTCACACTGTGAAATGAATTCCTTTATGTCGTTACTCATGTTCGGCCAGTAGAGACATTCAGCTGCTCGTCGACGGGTACCAGTAATACCTAGATGAGAGCTATGGAGTCTTTCGAGCATACTTTTACGGAGGGTCTGAGGAACTACGATCCTGTCTCCACGTAGAATTATACCATCTGTAAACGAAAGTTCACTTCTGAAGGATGCATAACGCCCTACCACTGGAGGTAGTTCAGTTAAGAGGTCAGGCCAACCTTCCACGATAGTCTTGCGAAGAGCCTGTAGGGTCTCATCCTTAGTAGTGTGGCGTTGTATCTCTTTGATACGCTCAGGCGAGATGGAGATATGTTGAATAACATTGATGTCAATTATGTCATCCTGTT